CCCTGGGGCTGAGGCTTTTGTCTGCAGAACCGAGAATGTTTTCATGGGCCTTTGTTGCTTAAAACCTTTTCAGTTTTCTTTCCTGCTATTTGGGGTCCAGGAGCCACTGCCTTTTCCAGGACTGCAAGGCCTCAAACCCTTTCTTCTGTTTGCAAACTGCTTGCAGACATCTCTCCTGCCCCGTTATACACCGAAGGAACAGCCAAAGCGCATTAATAGCCAGCTGGTGCCGACATCCCCTGGAGCCACAGGCTCAGTCCGTCCCAGGTCTGCCCTTCAAGTTATTGCAGGTTACAGTTTTGTTTTGTTTTTTTAACTTTTCCTCTAGCCTCTTATTTTTCTTTCTTTTGTTTATTTTTTTAAGATTGGCACCTAACTGACATCTGTTGCCAATCTTTTTTCTTTTTTCTTCTCCCCGGAGCCCCCCAGTACACAGTTGTACATTCTAGTTGCAGGTCCTTCTAGTTGTGGCATGTGGGACGCCACCTCAATGTGGCCTGATGAGCGGTGCCATGTCCAGCCCAGGATCTGAACCGGCGAAACTCCGGGGTGCCGCAGCGGAATGCATGAACTTAACAGGTTACAGGGTTTTTTTTTTTTTTTTGAGGAAGATTAGCCCTGAGCTAATATCTGCTGCCAGTCCTCCTCTTTTTGCTGAGGAAGACTGGCCCTGAGCTCACATCCGTGCCCATCTTCCTCTACTTTATATGTGGGACACCTGCCACAGCATGGCGTGCCAAGCGGTGCCATGTCCACACCCAGGATCCGAACAGGCGAAGCCCAGGCCGCCAAAGCAGAACGTGCAAACTTAGCTGCTGCGCCACTGGGCCGGTCCCCAGGTTACAGTTTTAGCCAACATTCTGCCCTGCATCACGTGAGTCTCCACTGTCCTCTGTGGGCTGCACGTCCAGGTCCCCGCCGCCGGAGCTCCAGGCCAGCGCTGCGCATCTTGGGGAAGCCATGGAGGCGCTGTGCTTCCAGGGGTTACTCAGGACACTACCGGTGCAACCAACAGACCGCCAGATGTAGAATGCTTAAAACGAGAGAAACGTGCCCCCCACTCACGCAAGAAGCCACAATGAGAGTTTGCTGTTGGCAGGTGGCTCTTTGCCCTGCGGCGCTTCAGGGACCCGAGTTCTCCACAGCCACTTGGCTCACCGTCCCCAAAGCCTTGTCACCGACTGCGTCCGGCAGTGGGATGGGAAGAACAGAGCCTGGGGGGCGCCGGCCTCGCTCCCGCGCACTCGCCCGGCTGGAGCCAGCCCCCGCGCACACCTGCCGCACCTGCCGCGAGGGGGGCGCAGGCCCAGCCGGGCGGCCTGAGTCGCCAGCGCCCCGGGTCAGCGCCTGGCTCTCCGCTTCCAGCCGCGCCGACTTCAGCAGACGCCCTCACCCTCTCTCCGAGTCCACGTCCATGCACTGGGTTGGCCTTTTTGCCTCAGAAGGCAGAAAAAACACCAATGAATTCTCACTCCCCAGTCTCCTCCTCGACTGCGGACTGACCGCGGAGAGGCCGGCTCCCGCCCGACACGCGTGACGTCCTCATCGAGCCTCCCCCCGCGCCAGGACGGCCTGCGGAAGGACGCCTCTCAAGGTCCTCCCCGACCTCACGGGGAAGACTCCCCGATTCACGGTCGGCCAGTCCCCGCGACCCTCCGGCCAGCTCAGGGTGCCCCGCTGCCACCTGTGGCCGCAGCCACCACGCCTCTGGCAGCAGGGCTGTCCGCTCTGTCAGCAGCTCCCAGCCTCTGGTGTGGACGCACCGGCGCAAGGCTGGATGCCCCTCCCCTGCAGGCAGGAATATTCGGTATATTTTATCCCAACCATCTGTCTGCTGGTGTCCAGATGCCTCCCTCCCCCGACCCCAGGAGGCCCTGGCAGGAGCCGAGGAGTAAATGATGAGGATTTAGGCTGGTTACTTTAAAAATTGCAGATGAGAGGGAGGCTCTGTGGACTGGAATTTGCTTGTCCTTTGAGAGACATTCGCATTTGTGAAGGAAGTCTCCATCTGTGGGGGTGTCTCCCTCTGCAGCAGGAGGAAGGCAGGATGGCCTTATCTCTGGAAACTCTTAATGGGGAAGGCAAGGACTTCAGTTGTTTACTGTCTGGCAACCTCACGTAACTGACCTCCCCCCCCCCCAACATCCTCCTTTGTCTTTAGCTGAGGATAATATTTAAGCGGTGGCTTCTGCCATTTACTTAATCCGTTTGATTCTTATCTAAAAGTTATAGGACCACCCAATAACCAGACCCTGCTGGCACTGATACCATTTTTAACTTTTTACATATTCTTTCCTTTGTCTTGTAAAGAGATAACTCACATACCTGTGCCTTAAATTCAGCCCTACTCTCCACCCATGTTTGCAGCAGCAGCAGCTCTGACTGCCCATGGGTCCTGTCCCCATGTTATCCCACACTGTTCTCTAAATAAAAGAGCACTACTGCCAGACCTTGAGAGTCCAAGAAATCTTTCTTCCGACTCCTCGGCTCACCGACCCCGCATCAGTAAAGCAGAGTTTCTGCATGCCGACGTGTACAGCTGCTCCTGCATCTGCCAATACTCGGGTCACCCCTCTTCTGCTCTCGCTCCTCCATCCTTGCTTTCATGCCTAGTGCCCTGGACTGAACACCCTCTGTTCAAAGCACCCAGGGCAGTTTGTTTTCTCGACTGTTCTTGGCAGCAGGAATGGCCTCTGACGAACGGTCTCTCAAACACAGAAACCTGGGGTCTGGGATCTGACCTGACTGGGTCACAGTAATGACCTCACTGCCCGGAGAAAGTGGGGCCCTGGGAGCTCACAGTGCGCAGAGGCAAAACCACTACTTAACATCCCACCTATTCTGAGAGCCCAGGGTGAGGACCCCCTGAAGGCAAAGCCTGGGAGACTGATGGGTGGCTGCCCCGTCACCAGGACTGTAATGGTGACAACAGGCCTGCAAAGCCTCTGGGTGGGGTGGCTGCTCAGACCGCCCCGGAGCCAGCAGAAAGAAACCCGTGGACTCAGCTCCAAGTGCAGGGACAAAGCCGACAGCGGCTGTGACGCAGAAAGAACCCCTGACGTCCTGGAGTCCTAACAAAGGGGCAGCTGGAAGCCCAACCCAGAGCCGGACCTGCGACGTGGACTTGAGGGCCCTGACCTGGAAGGAGTGGAGCCCCAAGAATAGTATAGGGCATGTGGGTGCACGTGAGCCAATCCGAGAAACCTAAACTGAGGCAGGAACAGCACAGGCACAGGCTTGGGCGTCTGCCAGTATTCCCGCCACGACCCCAGCTTCACACACAGTGTTCCCTCTGCCACACCCACCAGGCCCCCCGTGGTTCACCACGCACCTTGTAGCTTGAGGCAGAACCACGGCCGCCCTCCAAGCGGGCGGGGAAGCTGCTGGAAGTGTTACCACGTATCGCCCTGCGAGACCAACGGTCACCTAAAGTGGCCACAGGACCTCGTGACGCGCTGCGCGTCACTTTACAGAGGGCAGGCCTCGCGCGGCGTGCTCCCCTTGCTGTTGAGCTGCGTGGGCTCCACCCAGCGACTCCCCAACTCTGAGCCTCCGTTTCTCCATCTGTAAAATAGGCCGAACAAGTGGCGTCTCGCAGAGCGCCGTGAGAACCAGGCGGCTGCGCGCCCCTCCGTCCAGGCAGCGCTGTAATCCCCAGGGTGGGAACTGGGGGGGAAGCCCAGCCGGGAGCCCCTCCCTCCCTGGCAGCCTGGGCGTTTGGAGGGCGCCCGTGTCCACTCACCCCACTGGCCTGCAGGGGCAGCCACCTCCCTCCACTGGACCAGAGGCCCCAAGGGAAGGCTTTCTCGGGGGAGAGGGACAAGTCCAAGAGCAGCAGCTGACGCGATGTGACAGCCTCTTCCCGTCAGCCTGGTATCACTGCTCCGCAGGCAGGCACCCGGAGCCGGGCGGCGAGAGTGTGACTGTGGCCTTGGAGGGGCCTTTCCCTGGGGAGGAGGCGGAGGCTGTGGTGTGGGGCCCCAGTTGGCAGAAGTGAAGGACGCGAACGGGCGCAGATGGCAAAGTCCCCAGATCCTGACACCACCGCCGTCCTGCCGTGAGACCTCGGCCAGGCCCCGTGACGCTCAGAGCCTCGCTTCCTCTCCTGAGGAGGGGGGTTGTGCTGCCAATCAAAAAAGGGAAAGCTCCAGCCGCAGGGCCTGCCATCCTCACACCCTGTGGGCCCAGAACCTTCCTGTGCCTGTTTCCTCGTCAGTAAATGGGGGCCATCAGATAGGCGTGGGGAGGAGCCGGGTGGCATGGGGACCCGGCCGCAAGTGCCCGCCGCCCCTTTTCTAGAAGCAGTCCCAGAGCCACACTGGGCCACACCTTTTATTGAAATGTATGTCATGCAGTCTGTTCAGGAGTTTGAAAAATAACGAAGGGAGGTCTGAAGGCCAGCCTCGGCCCAGAACCACCTGGAACAAGTCCTGAGTAGGGAAGGCACGTTGAGTGACCACCGATTTGACCAGGCAAGAAAGAGAAACCCACAAAGCGAGATGTGGCAGGAGAGTGTGGGGCCTTTGGGGCAATGTGCTGGGAGGGGCCCCCAGTGGGTCCCCAAGTGGCATCTGGCCCCCACCGGTGGCGCAAACAGCCCCAGGTGACCTGTCTCCTGAGCAAGAGCTCCTGGAGCATTCTGGGGACAGGTAGAGGTGACCCTGAGACACCAGACAGGGTAGCACCAGGGGGGCAGGCCAGCTGCAAAAGGTTGGCTGGGGCTGCAGGGCGGGCATCTGCAGTGGACCCAGGGCCCCAGCCTGGGAGACGCCATTACTGCTGCTGCTGACAGGCTCTGCGGGAACCTGTGGGCTAGGCTGGCCATAGCAGCCGGCCCCTGTAGCGGGGGCAGCAGCACTTCAAGGCGGCCCGAGGCAAGGAGGCCCAGGTTGCAGCTGCAAGAATTGGGGACAAGCTGTTCCTGGGCCCAGGGCTGCACAGGGCCCCCGAGACGCCCTGTGCCTCCACGTTCAAGTAGTAAGTGTTTCATGTGTATGCCAGCCAGTCACCTGCCGTTAGAACACAGGTTCAGGCTGGGGCATAGTGGGGATGCGGACGGTCCCCCCTGGTGCCACCTGGCCCTCTGCTCAACAGCCTGCTTGCCCTGGCTCCCCTGGGGTCCTGTGCTGCCACTACAGGGCACCTCCCACGGTAGCCCCTCCTGGAACCTGGTCATCCTGCCCCAGAGGCTGCAGCAGGTACAGCACCAGCCTGCTGAGTCACTGGGAGAAGTTTTCATGTGGAGTGTGTGCTTGACCTTGCGGAGGGATGTGTGGATGGGGAGGGGGTCCTAGGTGGGAGGGAAAAGGTGCAGACCCCAGGCTGGCCCATCCGTCCTCTCGGGCCTACAACTCACTCTCCTTAAACTGTGCCGGGACTGCGACAGCCCCAGCCTTGGAAGGGACCCAGCAGCTGAACCCACCTCCTGACGGTGATGTCCTCCTGGCCTAGGAGTCCTGGCATGGCGAAGGCCCCACAACTTCCCTGGCCCCTCAAATAGTCCTTTGCACACAGAGTTGGGGAGCCCCGTGGGAAGGGGTGGGGTGGGGGTGTCTTCGGCCCCCTCGGAAATTCCTGGAGGCTAGACCGGGGCTGGGGACTGGGACGTGGTGGGGGGTGGGGGATGCTGGGTGACTCTCTGGGGCTCGGGGACCCCATGGGGCAGGCTGCCAGGCCTCTGCACGTGCTGGTACACTGAGATGTTCCTGCCACTGGGGGGGGTGTCTGTGCACAAAGGGCGTGGTGGCGGCTCAGTGCTGAGACTGGGAGCAAAGAGGTGAGACTAGAGGAGGCCACAGGCGAACGCCTGGGGCAGAGGTCAGACCAAGGGAAAGGTCATCGTGGTAGCCGGTGCCCCAGCACCCACACCTCCCGGACCCACCCCCAGCCAGGGCCAGGGACTCACTGTTAACTGACATCTTAGCTCCAAAGGGACCCCAACTCCTGGGTTCCCATTCAGCCCACAGAGGGGCAGGCCCGGACTTGACCTTTGGGGGAACGGAGCACAGGAGGTCAGGGCCCTGAGCCCTAATCAGCCCCCCAAAGGAAGCCCGCAGGGCCCTCAGAAAGGCTGGGGTGTACCTCCCAGGCCATTACCAGGAAGGCTGATCTGGGAGGGGCCCTGGGACCCCGACAGGCAACAGAACATGCCCAGCCACAAGCTCGCCATGAAAGGTGACGCTGCTGACACCCACCAGCTGCAGGGGGAGTCCCTCCGAGCACAGAACCAATTCTTCTGCTTGGACACTGAGGCTGGTCTTTTGAGGACAGTTTGCCTCCCTCCCACCCCAGCTTCAAAGGGTCCTCTCTGAGGAAGCCCACCCACAGGGTGCCCAATAGGCACTGAGGGGCAGGGACACCCCCAAGATACTGCGGCTGCACCTGGAGCTGGCTCCTGGCAGACGGGCAAACAAGGGCGATGGGGACCCTGGTTCCTGTAGAGCTGACGGACAAGGGGGCAGGGAGTTAGGGGAACGGGTACCAAGGAGAAAACACTCAGTGCTTCCCCTGCCAACCTCTCCACCGACGCACGGCTCCTCACTTCGCGTCCAGTGTGTGTGTGCATGTGTGTGCGTGTGCACAGTCAACCCCAGGCTGGTGCCCATTCCTGGCCTTGCACGTCAGGAAGGGCTGCCCCTGCCATAGCCACCCCAGGGCACATGAGTCGGCAGAAGAGAAGTGGCAGCGAGGGGGCAGCCACAGCTTGGCACCATGCCCTCGGGAGTTGGCACACAAGGCTTGTTATTGCTCCTCTCGGCTGGGGGAGCACCCTCCTCATCTGTAGAAGGGACACAGACAGAGGCAGTGGCGGCAGGGGGCCCCAAATCAGCCCCCATGCCAATCACAGAGCAGGAAACAGCAGGTGGGACCCAGGACAGGGAGGCCCCCATCCATGTGCCAGCCCCGGCCTCGGGCCCTCCCAGGCCCACCCACAACAGGCCAGGGCGGCCTTCGGAGAAGCTGGTCAGTGTCTGCAGAGTGGGAGCTGCTGGGGCCGTGGCCACCTGGCCGGCCCTTCACCATGGGGGCTGGACCTCTGCCCATCCTTGGCCAGCCGCCTCCAGGGGCTACAGAAACGAGTCCTTACAAAAATAACTCTAAGCGTCCCCGTGGGGACCAGGTTTCCTGAGAGTGCGCAGGGCCGGGGCGAAGGCCGTGAGGAGAAGGCTGGCCGCCTTACGGCTGCAGGCGCTCCAGGTACTGCGGCAGGGGGTTCTCCTTGACGTACTTCTGGATGTACCAGCACGTGAGGTGGGCCTTCAGGTCCTCCTCCACCACGAAGTCCAGGGCAGCCTGGCAGCGGGCAGAAAGAAGAGTGGTCAGCGCCTGCAGCCTGGCCCTGGGCTCCCGGCAGCCCAGCCCCCACGCCTCCCAGGCTGCTCCCTCCGAGGGCGGGAGCTGGCTGCCCAGAGCCACTTGTTCCACCCGGTCTGCAGTGGAGGTGCTGTCCCCACCCCATATTCCAGCTGAGGAAACTGAGGCAGACGGCTTTCGTAAACTGCCTGAAGCACTCTGCATGGAAGAGAACGAGCCAGGACCAGACCCAGAGCACCTGCACGAAAGGCCCCGGGAGGTGGCCTCTGCCGGGGGGCTGAGAGAACCCAGCGGCACGCGGGCAAGGACTGAACGCGGGCACCGCCCCTGCTGCGTGTGCTGTCCGTCCCTTGCCCACCCTGGCCGCCTGTCTCCAAGACAAGGTGCCCTTTCCCGTCTCAGCGCCTCGGGTGCCTGCCTACACGTCCCTTCCCCACTCCTGCTTCCCAGGCAGCTCCTCCGAGGCCTCCTGGCCCACCCCTGCAGGCTGGGTTAGGGCTGCCCAGGGCCCCACAACCCCCAGGGCGTCCCACACCAGCAGAGGCCCCACTGAGTGACCGTAGGCCTCCCACAGACACGGGGGAGGGGGGCCAGTGTGGGATTAGTCCACAGCTGTCATCCTCGTCTCCAGTGAGCTCCAGAAATGGGGCGCAAGGACGGTCCGCTGCCCTTCCCTGCCCTGGGGCCTTGCCCACAGCTGGTGTTTAATAAATGTTTGCCAACATGAAGCAGAGGACAGCCTGGTGGGTTACTGGTCTGATGAGCAGGAAGCAGCTGGACTGAGCACCCTCGAAGCTGGCCCGTCCGCAGCTGGCCCACTTGGCCTTCCAACAGCCCCAAGCCGCCTTTGCTCTCCACGGTCCACACCTAACCCCAGGGTTTACAACCCGAGACCCTCTGGTGACAAGACTCCAGGCTACCCTCCCATGGTGCAGAAAAAGAAACTGAAGGCCCAGCAAGGTGCTGTCAGAGGCCACGGGAGAAGCGGCCTCAGGCCCCAGGCGGGCAGCGCTCAGGGAAGCAACACCCAAGTGGTGAGCGGGACAAAGGGAGAGCCGGCCCCTGGGGAATGCAGGCCACTCTGCTCCTGGCCGCCATGCCCTCCCTCAGCCCAAACCTGCTCTCCCAGCGGCCTGGGGTTTGAGGTCCTTTGGGGATGAAGAGGAGGAGGACAGCGAGTGGGGCAGGAGCCAATTTACCTGAATCCTCATTTACGCACTCGTTCGACAAGGATTTCCTGAGCACCTATCACGTACTTGCCAGGCACTGGGGCCCAGCCATGAGCTCCTGACTCACAGCAGGTGTCAGCGGCCCAGAGGCTGAACTCTGAGAACCCGGGCCTGGGCCCAGAACCCCACCACCAGCCCCAGAGGGGCTGCCTGACAGTCGCCCGCTCCCAGTTGCAACCTGTTGGCAAGGCGGGCGCCCGTCTGCGCTTCGGACAAACAGGCCGGTCGGCCACCAGGGCCGCGGTTTCCTGAGTGGGAGGGCAGCGCCGCCCCACCTCCAGCCCTACCTTGGCGAGGTGCTTGGCGATGCCACGCCCACGGTAGGCGTCAGGGACCTCGGTGTGCTGCAGGTCCACCATGCGCTTGCCCACATACTCGTAGAGCAGGACAGCCCGGTCGTGACATCCTGCGGGAGGGTAGTGGACAGGTGAGGCCTGAGAGGCACAGTGGCAGGGGCGGACAGCGGACCCTGGAGGCGGACCCTGAATAACCTCTCTGAGCATCAGTGCTCTCATCCCCGAAGCGTGGATAAAGTCAAACGCTCCTGGCGGCATTCGGAGCACTCGGTGGGGTCACCTCCCTCAGCTGCTCAGAGCAGCGCCCAGAACACAGGCCCCAGGCGAGCCTTCGCTGTATAATCAGTCTCTCCGTCCCAGGGCCCCCAGCACCCTCTCCACGGCCCAGCTCTGCGTCCCCATCTGAGCGCCCTCCCAAGGATGTGGGGTCAAGGTCCAGCGCTGGCTGCAGAGCAGGGCTCAGCAAGTCCCCCACTTAACTGGAGCCCGAAGAGAGAAGGGGGCAGGCCGTGAGCTGCGTCAGGACCACCGCCGTACCGTAGACACCGTGGATGAGACAGTGCAACAGCAGCCCCCCAGGAAAGTGCCACCGGGCACAGGGAGCAGGGAACAAACAGGCCTGCCCAGCCCAGAGCTCACCAGCGCACCCTGAACGCCTGTGGGAAAAACATTTAACTGGCGTTCCTCCAACCAAAGTCTTTAGTTCCCTGTTTGTCCATCCATCCAACCATCCATCCATCCGTCTGTCCGTCCCCCATCCGCCTGCCCATCTACCTACGCAGCCGTCACCCCGTCCATTTGTCCATCTATCCATCCACTCCACTCAGCCACTGGGGACACACCAATGGACAGCCAGACAAACAGCCCTGTCTTTGTGGAGCCAACCGGAGAGCAGGCAGAGAAGGGACAAGGAAAAGGTTCAGGGCGGCGTGGCAGGGCTGGAGCGGGGGAGGGGGCTGGGTGACACCTAGGGGACAGTGTCCTGGGCGGTCACAGCCAGCGCAAAGGCTCTGCGGTTAGAGCAGACAAGTCACTGTCCCTAAAAGAAAGCACGTCAAGGTCACCTGTCTTTCCCTGATTTTTAAAAGCAAATTGTCGTGTCTTTTTCACTTTAAAGCAACACAGAGAATTTGCTTCTGAATGCCACCCGGCTCCCAGCCTGAGGAGAGTGTTGCCAAGGGGAAGAATGACAGGCTAGAGATACAGTGGCCAGTCCAGGGTCTCACGGTAAAGCGGACAGGGTGCAACCCCAGTTAGGAGGAGTTCTGGCTCGCCC